GCGGCGCGGCGCGGTTCAAATTTTTGTGAGACCTCCGCGGCGCGGCGCGGCGCGGTTCAAATTTTTTGGAAACCTCAGCGGCGCGGCAGCGGCTGATTTTCAACCGCGATGGACATCTCTGTTGATTTTCTAGCAGTTTCTGTTAGAAAGAAGATTAAATCAACTTTTCATGCTAACTGCGATTCAAAGAAACTGAAAAACGAATGCTTTTCTGCACCAGTTTTATAAAAATGAAATTTTACCATGTATCAGATACGTTTTTGTAAAGTAGAAGTATGTTTATAGATTGGTAGTTTAAAAACAGATAGAAAAAAATAATACAAATGAAAAGAAAACAAATCAACCATGTAGTTTTATTTCATTTTAAATAAATCTATTTTTTCTCTCTCTGTTTTGAGATCGAAGTTGAGACAAAACGTTCCAACTAATTGAAATATCTTCAACAGTGTTCTTTCTTTATTCAAATGTTTTGTTTTTACGGGAAGAATCTATCTAAAGAATCAAAGTACGTGTTACTGATGTTTTTGATTTCAGAATTCTTTCTCCAATGAGTGATCAAAGTGTTTGAAATGAGCACATTGAATAATTTATCGATCTTTATCGAAGCGAAAAGAATAAGTTCAAAATGTTGTCCCTTTTTTTCTTTTATTCATCAATGGTTTAATTACTTCTGTTGGAAAAGCTTTGAAAAACGACGAGAATTTTGTATTTCGTTTGTTTTTCAAGCCGTAAGATTACATAAAAATAAAACAGTCTATTGAAATTCATTTTCTTTTCTTAAAATGCCACACTTCAAACATCTCTTGATACATTTCTCACATTCATCTTCCGGCATTTGCATGAGAACAGATTTGAATCTTTGAAGATCGCGTGTTGTCACAGCATGTTTCAAATCCTAAATAGAAGAAAATAAAAGTGAAAGAATTATGAATTGTTTTTCCACCTTGGGTAAGGATTTTAAAATGAGATTTTGAGCGTAACCTTGTTCTATGAGACGTTTTTCTTCTTCGTCCTGAAAAAAGATATTCATTCTTGAACTTTTAAAGAGCGTAACTTACTTCATCGGAAAACTTCTGACTAATTTCAAGTGCACGACTACGGATTTTTTCGTGTAAAATTTTATATTCACGTTCGAAATCATTTTTATGAAATGGACTTGACGATAATCTTGACAGTAAGCCGGTTTTTTTAATTTTTGCATAATTTCTTCACTTACCGGAAAAAAAATAATTCGATGCATTGTATTCTTTCATTTTTCGTTGTATTGATCAAATATAAAATCGATTTCATGATTGTTGCTTGGTTCAGAGTGTTTTCCATCGAAGAAAAGTTCTGAAATATTTTCATTTCTTTTTTTTATTCTATCTATGTTGAAGTATACCTACGTTGTCAATCTCTTCGCTCAAACACCAATCGAGTAAAGTTTTAAGATTTTGTTCCGTCATTAAATCAGGATTTTCTTTCAAACATTCTTCAGATTTTTTATCATCGTGTACGATTTGAGCGAACATTTTCACCAGTAATGACGTTGGACCAAAGCCTTTAGCATTGATTTCGGCATGACGAATGTTAACTAAAAAGAAAGATCGTTTTTTATTCGAATAAACGTCGCATATTTTACCGCTTGCTTTGGAGCGTTTGAGATAATATTGTTCCGCTTGAAGATTAATACCATCGGCAAGTGCTTTTGTAAATGAAATATTTTCCGATGAAAAATCCAGAACATAAGAATTTAACTGCTCGATCTTAATGGCACATTGAAGCTGAAATAAAGACAGTTTCATCTTGTGGAATTAAAAGAATGAGATAGTATTACAGTTGAATTCATATTCGAAGATGAAGTCGGCGATGTCATGTACGATTTTAGCTCGGAATCAATTTCATCCTTGTGACGCACGTGTCTTCTATTTCTTTTTCTCTTTCGTGGTTATATGCACATATCCAGGGATATGACAGAAAGCGTATACGCCGAGAAGCTTGTCCACTTATAGATCTTATTCATTCAGATAAAATATGATCAGAACATTCAAATTAGTCGGCAATTTCTTATGAGATAACAATTAAATAAAACAGAGCAAGAAACGAATAATAAACAAAATAAAAATAAATATCAGTAGTTTCAAAGAATCAGTACTAAACTGATTAAGTAGATAGTCAACAAAGAGATGCCGTCATCATCCTGCATCGTGATAGATATAGTGTGAGAGATCATCTTTCGATAGTATCAATAGGCATTGGATCTTCTCAACGTTTCCGAAGAATATATGTTAGATAAATTGATCCGGTGAAAAACACTTCTAAGTAAGGAGTAAATTAAATTCGATTAAGAAGAATTTTCTCAACCATCTGCGAGTTTTTCTCGCTGATCATAAAATGATTGATGACATCATCACCACATGAAGATTTTCCAATGATGGAAAAGACATTTTTCGAAAGAAATCTTTCGACATATCTTTCATATGGATAAACATCTAACTCAGCATATATTTCGGCAAACGAATGCAGAATGATCAATCTTGTAAGATCAGTACGTTCAATCGAGTAAAGATAAGATTTGTACACTGGATAAAGTTCATAGCTTGGAAAGAACTTCTTCCAGACATGATATGAGTTTTTAGCTGGATACAAAGAAAGATCAACTGTTTTCCACATCTGNAATGAGAAGAAAAACGAAGAGAAAAAAATGTTGTTACAATTTTCTTTCGATTTCTACTTCATAGATATTCACAGATAGAAATTTTTGAAACTGTTTAGAGATAAAAACATCAATTCTACATAAAAATATTTTCTTTTTAGTTAATGAAGTATTTTTGATAATGTAGAATTCGAATCATACTAGAGTTATTTAATTTCAATCAGTGTGAAGCTAGCACAAAGTAGTTAGCACGAAAAATGAAGATTTAGCTTAAATTTCTTTATAAGAATAAGGCCGGGCCATGAAAATTAGCTCATTCGATTCAGAATTTAATTCTACGTCGAATGATGATACTTTTATTCACCGGCCAAGCTTCAGAAGAATTTTTACATAAATCTCCATTTTCCTCTTATGTAACAGAAAAAATTTAGATAAGATTCTTCCGAAGCTTGGCCGGTGAATAAAAGTATCATCATTCGACGTAGAATTAAATTCTGAATCGAATGAGCTAATTTTCATGGCCCGGCCTTATTCTTATAAAGAATTTTAAGCTAAATCTTCATTTTTCGTGCTAACTACTTTGTGCTAGCTTCACACTGATTAGTTTGGTGACAGTTCTATTCTATATTGTCAAAATAAAGCAAACTTAGCTCATCTATCTATCTTATGGAGCGTTATGATGGAGTAGATCTCAATAATGTCAGAAAACTGATCAAAATATCATAAATTTCAACAATTCCACTATAAATCATTCATTATCTATTTAGGGAGATTCTAACATTATTCGCAACACATCAGAGTATCTTTACGTAGGCTATCATACAACATTAAAACTCGTGTGAAAAATTAATCAACAAACGAGTATTGATAGTGGAATTGTCGAAATTTATGATATTTTGATCAGTTTTCTGACATTATTGAGATCTACTCCATCATAACTCTCCATAAGATAGATAGATGAGCTAAGTATGCTTTATTTTGACAATATAGAATAGAACTGTCACCAAACTATTGCCCATCTATGAAAAAAAATAACTGGCTTTTTAAATTTTTTTGTGCCCTTACAGCCGGATGTTGCCAAATGGCAACATACTCAAATTTTGTTATTCGAAAATCCTAATGAATCCATGTTATATTCTTAACAGATAATAGGGTTAGAGGCGAAAATTAAGCGCTAGTCACTTCTGATGTACAATGCTTGAATAAGCGATAAGAAGATCTTTTCCATTCGGGAGCTCTTTTGGACGTTTCGGGAGAATTAATACCATTCGCCAACAGAAGATTACCTCTCTCTAGCAAACACATATATTTGTGCTAAAATGTGTGTAGTTATTTATCGAATGGCATGAAAAACGATATCTCTTCGTTTTAAGAAAAAACTTATATTAACATCAGTAAAATGTTGCCAAATGGCAACATCCGGCCGCAAAGGGTTAATTAGTAATTAGCTAATTAGGAAATTGAAATTTCGAGAAACTGACACCGGATTCGAAATCCTCGACCTCGACTATCTCATCAGTGGTCAATCTTTGATGACTATAGATAAATTTCATTGATTCATAATATGCTGCAATCTAATTGGATTATGCAAACAAACAAACAAACTTTATGCATTTTCATCACTGTATTTATGACGCTATAACCCTTTCTTTCAGAAAAGGGAATAAGTCTTGTTTTATCAAGCTATAATGGTGAACTCAAACACGAAACCTGTCTTACAAAGGAGACACGATGCAAAGCATGAGGAAATTTAAAATAACGAGTTTTTAATATAAGTAGCAACACTTATCGGCATTCATGATAGTCTAAAAGGCTTTATGACCATAAGAATATGATATGTTCAGTTCCACGACTATTTTTATTTCCCACCACCGTTGCATTTCTGTAAAAGCATCCTTGTTTGTGACAGTGAATCAAACAGCAGGACTCCAATTCAACAATATTCAACCAATAATTTCCCTGTTGCCTAATATCTTCTACCTATCAGTAGTGCTATGCCTAAGAACTAACTTGTTCACTTATTGTATTATAAAAAAGCTAATATCAGATTCAAGTTCCCCGACCTCGATTACTCTACCTGTAATCATTTTCAAACAACGATCGATCAATTTCATTGATTTTAGAAATGCTGATTTCTGATTGGATAGGACAGACAGACAAACTTTAAGCTTTTTAGCACAGTATGTAAACGCTGTATAACCCTTTCTTCCAGAAAAGGGAATATTAACGAATATCTTCAGAGATTATTGGCAAGACTGTTTCAGATTTGCAAATCGGATAGTCCAGACAAAAATATCACAATTATCATCAGGTTCTTTACAACCACTTCGAGTGATGGAATGGAATCTGTGGCATACTCGTCAATCATTCATTCACTTATAATCAGGAATAGTGTGTATATAAGGAACGTGGTCAAGAACTTTATCTGTGACGTACAAATTTTAGTCGTTCTTCAAATTTAGAGTATGATCAGTTTATTATTTATTTATCATAGAAAGTTTTATTATATAATTTATGGCTTTGAATATATCAGTTAATGAAAAAAGTACATCGTTGTCTTCGGGTCTCTCAATATAATTCAGCACTGTCGAGAGGACAGCATCCACCAATAACTAAAACTGTTTTATTGAGTAATATCGCTGCTGCATGATATCCTCGTGCAACACTCATATTCCCAGTCATTGTCCAAATACCTGTTAATGGATCATACAATTCAGCACTATTCAGATAATTACCACCATCGTATCCACCGGTGACTAAGACTGTTCCATTGGATAACATAGATGCTGCATGATATCCTCGTGCAACACTCATATTCCCAGTCATTGACCAGGTACCTGCTGATGGATCATACAATTCAGCACTATTTTGTGAAGTACTATTGTTGAATCCACCAGTCACTAATACTTTTCCATTTGATAATATCGATGCTGTATGAGATGATCGTGCAACACTCATACTTCTAGTCATTGTCCAATTACCAGTTGATGGATCATACAATTCAGCACTATTTTGTGGAATACCACCGTTGAATCCACCAGTGACTAATACTTTTCCATTTGATAATACTGATGCTATAGGAAGTCGTCGTGCAACATGCATATATCCAGTTTTTGTCCAGCCTACAGAAAGATTGAGAATATAAAGAAAGAGATCTTTCGTGTGAGAAAGCAATGTGAAGTCCATCAGATTTAGCGGTTGATCACCTGTGAAACAAAAATAGTCTATCTCAAGAATTTATAAAAGCCTTCTCTGTTCCCAAATACCTATAGTTTCACTTAAACACTAGACAGAATGTGTACCTTAGCGTGCTCGTGATCCGTAGCCTTTCTCGAGATCATTTACACAAGCATATCATATATCAAAATACCTCACAAGGTTTTTTCCCTGTATAGATCAGTCATTATCATGTCAGCAAAGTTAGGCGTTCTCTTCTATGTGAACTTGCTCTTCTGATTAGCTAGGGAACCACGAAATCGCCATGCAACTGCAGCGATTTCGCATAGTTGTTTACCTCGAGGAGAACATTGATTATTCGATCCTTGATTTCTTCGATAACAAATAACACTTGCTCGAACATCTCCAGATGATGTTATATTACCTGATTGACAATCTTCACTAAATAACAAACAAGTTCGATTGTCTTGATAATAAACAGCTGTTCGACATTGATCTTGATGAGCACATTGCCAAATACAAGATTGAATCGATGCGTCGGCTGGCAAAGTGACATTTGAAAGGAGAGCACAAGAAGAATTGGTGAAAAAGAGAGAAGATCGATGAACTTGACTGATGATAATGGCATCGATTGAGGAGATAAGGAGAGAAATGATCAGAATCAGGTGCATTTTTTTTCCACTGTTCTTTTAGTTGAAATGAAGAGAGAAATGCAATGAAAAAGAAATCGGAAGACATTAGAATAAATTTCCACGGACCAAACTATTTGTTGGAAAAGAATGAGACGTCCTCTAATTGACGACTTAGTTCTGTCGTTCATTTCCTCTCATACAAAGAATCTCTATTTTGTCAATTCTCGTGAGTTTACAAACATGAGACGCGTAACGAAACACTTTTGAAAAATCTTCAGTTTCAACTGATTTGCTTCTATCTATTTGACTTCTATTGAATGACACTGTATCTTTGTAATAGTGCTGAACTGATGAGGTCGCATACAGAACTCAAAAAACGTTTCCGTTTACAGATTGAAATGAAAAATCCATCCAGCGTCTTTCTATCAATGAAAATGCCTATTGTATAGGCATTGTAAGCTCAAATAAAAACAGGAAACAGAAAAGAATTCAACTGAGCTGCAGTTATCTGATAGTTATATCAGTACAAAATCAAGCAAAGGGTGTTTTCGAATAATACTCATGTTATTGCTCATTTCTTTTATAAGAACGATTGATAGAAAATGATGATTTAAGGTAATAAATCATTTCCAAATTAACTCCGTTCATATTGATTTTTATTTATTATAATCCATAGCTGTGATGCAGCATGGAATATTCCACATACATGACATCATCATGTACTTTTTCTCGTTCTTGGACTTTTCCTAGACACACACATACATATATATTCATCTTTTCTATATATGTGTGCTTGGATAGTTCTGTTTCTCCTGTTCTTTCTCTTGTCTCTCTTTTATCTTTATTTATGAATAAAGATTTCTAATTATATATATATATATATATACGAATCTATAATTATCTCGAGATAGCTCGGCAATACGTGACAATAGCAATTATGGATTTTTGTGGCGACTCAAATTTAATTTCAACTTCTTAAAGAGAATTCAAGTCGGTAAACTACTTATCTTACATTGACGCTTCCTAAAGTGTTTTTGATTTCTTTCAAGTCACAGAACAGTTGAACAACAAATGATTGACACAAATCAATGTTAATATTTTTGTCAAATATACGGAAACTATCCGATCAAAAGTAAGTTTATATCTACGAGATTATGATATTAGAGTATTTAACATCGAAATATCATATTCTGTTTTTGTCGTGACTGTGCAACTAAGTGTTAAACAAATTATAGTCTGAATAAATATACGGAAAGGTTTGTTGAATGTTTTTATTCTATCAAAAGAAACAAAACAAATAAAACAACGTTTTGTAATCGAGTGACACTAAAGTTTGACATTTGTCCGACAAGATGTTAATGTGAACATGGAATATAATTACAAAAAATCTTCCATTTTCTATGCAGAACATAACTTCAAACGAACTTAAATCGTAACTACAATATTAATTTGAGGATATGGGTGAGATTAAATGAAATGATTGAAGCTAATTTTGTCAAAACCAACGTCCAGAAAATGAATTCTAATCAAAATAAAAGAATTTGTTTTGAATCACTCAGAGAAATTCTATTAGTTTCAGGAGGCGTTTCTACTTCTTTTCTTGGACTTCATTGACAAGATGTACTTGTTGTAAGAGAACGATCGTTTTCCTAAGAAATATCATCGTCGTCAAGGTACATGAGAATATTTTTCAAATCAAATGTTGTCAGTGACATCAAAAGTTGATTTATGATCGGATTCTATATTCTCCAGCTTATGGTGAAAGATCTTCGTGAGATATAACGTGGGAATTCTATTGTGAGTCAGTAGGCACGTACTGAATTCGATTGATGGAAGAAGAATGAGTGTAAAAGTACTGCCATTCATTCTTAAGATGATCTTGAAGTAAAAGTCGAATTGTTTGAAAACAATATTAATCTAAATGTCAACAAACAAAAATACCCAGATGTTGACGAATCGTTTGTCGTCGAATGAAAGAAGCGAAATTTGTCAACAGATAAACAACATTCGAAAGTCTTGATAAGATTCACGTTTATCTTTTACGGCAACAGAATATGTTAGGAATTTTTTTTTCGTGGTTCTAAATTAGTTCTTTTTGTCATAGCGCGTGCATAATATCGAAATAATTTTCGTTTTAATTGACTTTCATCATTGGACATAGTGATTATGTCACGGGAAGATCTTTATTCAACACAATAAATGACACAAAACAAATAACAAATGCTTTAAAACATATTGGGTTTTTTATTCATGGAAATGAAGAGGAGGTGGATGATTTCGCATTTTGCGAACTGCGCTTATTTGCTATTTTATATGAAACGAGAAACCACTTAACCTCAATCAAACATAAAACTGGCAATATCTCATTGTTAGATATTTACTTTTGTATGAAAATTCGAATTTCTACTATCAAACGAATAGATGAACTCTGTTTATGAACACGTATTATTGAAAATAGAAGAAAGATCTATACATAGTTTTTAGTACTTATAGAAGAATTTCAGATATACTTGAACTATTGGTTAAAAGTTGTTCGATTATTGGATATAATGAGCTTCGGCTTTTCGGAATGAAATGATAGTATCTTGATTTCTGGTATAGCTTCGTAAAATTTTCTCAAAGATCTGCGCGTGTTTCTCGCTGATCATAAAATGATTGATGACATCATCACTACATGAAGATTTTCCAATGATGGAAAAGACATTTTTCGAGAGAAATCTTTCGACATATCTTTCATATGGATAAACATCTAACTCAGCATATATTTCGGCAAACGAATGCAGAATGATCAATCTTGTAAGATCAGTACGTTCAATCGAGTAAAGATAAGATTTGTACACTGGATAAAGTTCATAGCTTGGAAAGAACTTCTTCCAGACATGATATGAGTTTTTAGCTGGATACAAAGAAAGATCAACTGTTTTCCACATCTGATGAATACGAGAGAGATTTGTTTGATTTGATTCAGTTGATTGTTGATCGATCAAAAGAATATCAATTGTATCTAATTAGTACGATTTGCCATATCAGTAAGAAGATTAGTAATTCACAGATAAGTAATTAAATAGAAAACGATTTTCATCGTTAAAGTAAATGAGAAGAAAAACGAAGAGAAAAAATGTTGTTACAATTTTCTTTCGATTTCTACTTCATAGATATTCACAGATAAAAATTTTTGAAACTGTTTCGAGATAAAAACATCAGTTCTACATGAAAAGATTTTCTCTTTAATGAAGTATTTTTGATAATGTAGAATTCGAATCATACTAGAGTTATTTAACTTCACTGTTTGATAATATAATTTGGTATAAATTCGTTCTACTCCAGATCTGTTAATAGATATACGTTAGAAGATTTATTTTTATCATGCAATGAAACCATATGATGTTAAGTGCCAATTGACATTGCTATTAGTATTGATAGGCTGAACAATATCATTACATCGCTCTTTATTTTTGTTTTGTTTATTAAACACAAAATATAGTCTTTCGAGTGAGGATGTTTCTTGTCGGGTAGTATTCGAGTCTGATTATGGTATATGTATTTAACCTGCTACTTCAATTCAACTATGAATTTATCTAAAAGTTCTTTATCTGATAAATTATCGATTTGTTCTAATGGAATATTTTTTTCTTTGCAAATTCGGTTTATTTTTTTCTCAAATTCTTCTACTAACTGTTACGTAACTGCAGCCTACATATCAGAATATTTTTCCATTGAAGACATCTCCATGTCGATACCATCACTTTGATCATATAAAACAAAACCATCTCGAATAATCAAATGAGTTCCCGAAACCTACTGCCATTAATGTATCATACATGAACCAAAACATTCAAATTTCAATCTGATCAGTAAAATCATATCAATACTTGTCCTATTCCTAAACTCCAAGTTCTACCACTAAGAAAATCATCGACTGGACTTTGTACAATATAATCTCAAGGTCGAAATTCCATATGCACACCGAAAGTATCACCGACAGTCATTCCAAAGTTGAGCCTTGAATATGATCGAGAATTTCATCCGAATAACTTTTCAATGGATCGTGCATTTCATCGTCAAGTTCATTTGGTTTTGTTACTTCTCACAAATCTTATCTGTTTGAGATTGACATGCCGCTGAATTCGTTTTCTCAGATGATTCTGTTGACGAATGAGATTCTGCTTTTATATTCGACTCTAATTCTTCATTTTTCGAAGAAGAATCGACTGAGAAGGATGATTGAATTCATCATATCGAGTTTATCTGATCAGGTTTGTTTCACTTGCATTTATTACACAACAAGTCATTTGAAAACGAATAATTTATCAAATAGCGTTGCAAACTCATATAACCGATCGAATTGAAATGATTAAAGAAATTTTATCTCTTGCAAGAAGATCTTCGCTATTGCACAATTCTTATGTTCTATAAATTGATATATTCAACTAACGATAATATGAGGAAAAATTTCATACGATCATAACGTTTCTTGTATTGTCTATAAATTGTGTTGAAATAAGAAAGACAATTAAAGTTTTATTCAAAATCTCCTATTGAAATATTTTGATTTGACATTGTTAACCTTCCATTGTCTTGATTTGAAACGTACACGTTTGTACAAAGAATGTCAAATAGAAAATCTATGTAAAGGATTACGATAGAATTTTTTTTCTTTGTCGTTTTCTCCTTCTCATCTTAACCTATTTTAGTAAATCAGTTGAACAATTTGTTGATCGACGAACATGTTGATAAAGATATTTCCAATCCTTTTGGTTTTCACAAGTGCTTCTATTCTTCCATCAACGATCGACAATGATTTGAATGAATTGATAAGATTACATAAAGAATTTCTTGATCATTCACCAATTGGACCATCTCATCAATCTTATGAACTTCGTTGTCGGGCGATAAGTGAATGTTGTCCAAATGAACAAGATAATCTTTATACATTATTAACTGAAAATCAATTTAATGAGAAATGTTTAAATAACGGAACAAAACTAACTGAATCATCTCTTTCAACGATTTGTATATCAACACTTCGACAATTGATTCAGTTGACAAAAGAACCAATTTATAAACAATATTTTGATATTTTAGGAAATCAAACTAATCGTTCAAATCGAATTAAAATTTGGAAAAATCAAATGAAAATGGTTTGTTCAAAAGATGAACTTCATGCGCATTATTGTCAACGAAATGATCTCGACAAATTTAAATCATGTCAAAGAAAAGTTT